CTTAAAGCATCAAATAGCCCCCTTGCAGTGAATGTCTGCAATAGACATTTTAAAGCATTATACAGATGTACTATATATATATATATATATATATATAAGAAAAATTAGCAACGGAATTCTCGAAACAAGGTACAAATACAGTGACAAACCGTCAGTAAAGAACCCTCTACCATTAGGATCTTTCTCTTAACTCCAAACACACCAACGAAACTGAGACTTGGAGCGTCGTGCGCGCCCACGACGGTGCGCACGGGGGACGGGGGCGGGAGGGCGCCTCGTCTTTTGCTGCTTTTTTAATCACTTTCTGTGTGCTTGAAAAGCGAGCGGGTGGGTTTTCACGGCCTACACTGCAACTATTATAAATTCAAGCTCTTTTTTGCAACGGTGTCACCTACTCGTCTTTGCTCGTGGAATAACATGCAGTGAAAGTAAATGCCATGAGATAGTAATTTATACGTTACATATTTTTTCTTTATTCGAGTGAGTAATATGTGTTTTTTTGTTCTGCTTTACTATAAGACTACCCTTATAAGGGCTTTATGAATAGTTTATAATCGGGTTATTAATTAGGTTGTAACACTTTAAAATCATTAATAGACAATATTAACTATTTCTAATGTGTTACTACCATATATAAGTGGCGAAAGGAAGCCTTATTGTAAATAGATTCCTTCTTATTATTTATCTAATTGTAATGAAATCTAGCATAACACCGAAATGTTGTTTTTTTTTTGCTCCATATATAAGGATTTGAAATTGATGCTTTGGCCTATTTAGCCGAAATCTCTTTTGGTAAGTATACGTAGGCCTAAGTCATGTGTTGAGATAAACATATATCAAAAATCATAAATCAATAGATTTGCGCTCGTTTAACCAGTATTCTGTGGACATTTAAGTCAAATTCAGTAGATCTATTAAAAACATAATTGACCTGCACCTGTATTATTAATGAGGCACTTTTGACCAGCTTAAGCGTTTGTAAGATGGATGAATGAACACTAATGCAAATTCATTTCAAGGATGGTACGTATACTGTTTTTATATTCTAAAAAATATTATCGTATGCGCTGTATAATGTGTAAAATTAGGAAGGTTTGATAAGTCGCTTTAAAACTATTGCTAAACCTTTTGATACGTACAGTAATCTGTTCGGGATAAAAGACCTGCAGCTGTCCAGTGTCACGGTTTGCCCAAAATTTAAATTCTGAGTTTTTCTCTGAAATAAAACCAAGTGTCTGTCGTTATTGCGGTATTACATTTAAACGTGAATCAGCGACGAATTGGTCATTTTCGTCCGCGTTCTGCGTTCTTCATCCGCGAGTAGCTCATTATCTGTCTTGTCCCTGTGCTGTAAATCTTCATAGAGTAAAATGAAAGATAGCCCTGTCACTCAAAATATTTAGCTATATTCACAATTATTAGCTTAATAAATATGAATGATTTATTACAGAAGTTAATATATACTGTCAAAGCTTACCACGTTGTTGTTGGACACGTAAATAATAGTTTATATCATATGAAGCTTCTAAATAAAAGTTAAGAAAATTATTGTAGTTATGGGCTGGATCAAACATACATTAAATAGATACATGTCCCTTTTTATAGGTAACTTTTTTATAGTTAACTGTTTTGAATTATGTTCTCAAGGCTCTCTGATAGTAATTTTAATTTGATGCTAAGCTTGATTTTTTAAAACACCTTTTTAACATATTATTTACAGTAGGTATCTTTTAAACTAAGGAGGCTACTCTTATAAAATTGTTTAGACTTTATTGGTACATTTGTAGGACTGAGGCAGGGTAGAACGCAGCCTAGTGATCTACTGTCTGCGTCAGAGCACAGTGAGGAATCCCAGCTGATGTCAGTCGTAGTCAGATCAGGTGGAATTGTGGAACATTTGTTACTCTGACTGTCACTCGCTCCCACAAAGCTGCATTTCCACCCATTATGCCACGTGTCATGGTTTATGAGCACCTGCTTTTTATTCTGTTTACATCATTTATAACATCTGTTGGAAACGGAACCGCCATAAGCTGTTTACCTTGTAACTGTACCAGGGGTTTATTCATGCACAAAAGTTCTTTAGACTACATCAGAAAGTGACACAGCTTGCACAGAATCATACAGCTCTTTGCAGATAGAAAAAGTAATTCAGAGACATGTCTACACCTCAAAAACCATATCACCTTGTTCATCACATCTTGCTTAGCAACCACTGTTGCTTGGCAACCGCAGTGTCTCATATGCATGCATCCCGCAGAATGATTATTTAGGGGCTCCCAACTTTAAGAACAGGACAGCTGACTCCTGATTACTGTAAGTCTGTTCCTGTCGTATTGGACACCCAGCAAATGTACCTCCAAATAGGTGGGGCCTCTTTTTGATAGATACACATGTTAATGGTGTGCAGTAGCAGGTAATCTAGCTCCTACTTTTTTTCACAAATGTATTTCAGATACCTGCTATTCAAGCCATGTTGCTTTGGTACAAATTTAATGTCAGTCAATAACATATAATGGAGAAGCGGGTTCTGGTCCCGGAACAGCGACTGTGAACTCAAGGGTGAGCAGACAATCAAGCTGACAGGATGACGCATGTGCTGTGTTTCTCAGGAAGCACAAGGGGGCGCTGCATTGCCAAGATATTCAGACAGAAAATCTGGGGCCGGGTGCACGAAACACCTGAGATTCTCCCCTTAAGTATGACACTTAAGGTATAATTTCTTCTTGGCTATGGGATTCATTTAAGGGTGTTGCACAGAATCTCTAAAAAGGTTTCCTTAGTTAAGGAAAAATCTTACGGGTTTTACAGCATCGAAAGACATTTTACGGAAGTGAAATTGTACAGTTTCCATGGAGACCATTTCTTTGCTTACACTCATGCCTGTTCGTGGTGTCTGGTGACGCAAGAAAAAGGAGAATGGTTTCCACATGTCTATGCTTTTATGTGTGTCAGTGTTCTCTAGCCAAGGCTGAGATCATTCATTCAAAAGGAACAGACATTTTTTGAGAATGCATCGGATAAATACACTAACCAGCACACATTAACTATGTGATCAGTGGTTATACTGTAATGTGATGCTAAAAATTTATTGCAGTTAAAAGCAGCCATTCAGAAAGAGAATATGAAGGTGGGATTATTTGCTTGTGAATGAATATATGTATCTTATGTATATTTTTCTGATTAATATATTGTGATTCTGTTTCCAAGGGTCTTGTGTTCCCTGTAACATTCAGTTCTCCCGGCTTTTCATTCTGTCTTGTGTTCCCTGTAACATTCAGTTCTCCCGGCTTTTCATTCTGTCTTGTGTTCCCTGTAACATTCATCTTGGACAAGATGCCATTACAATCAGATTCCTACTTGTCTGCTCCCTGCAGTTCAAAATGCAGGATAAATGCAAGACAATAATTACAACTTACAAAACAAAAACCCCACAGACAAGCAAATATTTGCCATATACAATACTAGTCTAAAGTTTGGATGTACCTACCCACAGAAAGGTTTATTTGTTCTATTCTCTACATTTTAGAATAAATACGTCAAACCTATAAATATATCAAACCATGCACTGACCAAAGCAAAAAAAAAAATGTTGGGGGGTAGTTCTGTGGGTTGGGAATCAGAAGGCTGCTGGCTCAAGTCCCTGGGTTGGCAGAATGATCCCACCATTGGGCTCTTGAGCAAGACCATAAACCCCAATCGCTCGAGGGACTGGCTGACCCTACTGTCTCCTCTATGCCAGTTTCAGGTGGCCTCCTGGGATGCTTTTCCAGCTGTCCTGAAGGAGGTCCCACATACAGCCGTGGAAAAAAATTAAGACACCACAACACAATTTTTGTTTCACTCATTTCTCAATTTATGAGTTGTGTGTGTGTGTGTGTCTGTTTCTGGTTCTTCTCTGTTTCTCATTAATAAAGGGTTTCTTTCATGCTTTATGGGACTTCAGTCCTGCTTCTAGGAGCCTGATACACACTGTCCTAGCAGTGCACTTCACACCACTTAATGTTTCCCATTCCTTTTGAAGGTCACTTGTCATCCCACGATTCATGAGAAACTGTCAGATAAGTTAATGATCATCTCTGGCATTAGTCGCTTTCTCACTTTACCTGGCTGGTTTCTGGTCGTTCCCAGTGTCTCCTACTTCACCTTATTCTTGTGAACTGCTGTCTTAGAAATTTTGAATCTGGTAGCAACCAGCTAAGCATGATTAAACCAGGATTTAAAAATGTAGATTAGTTAAAAAATATCGAGTGGTCTCTTAATTTTTTTCCCCTGGCTGTATATGTTGAGCACTCATTGGCTGCTTTTCATAAATCTCAAGTCAAACTCCTCTAAAACCATCTCTGCTGTGTTTAGGTCAGGTGGCCAGGTCATGTGATGAGACACCATCACTCTCCATTGTAGGCGGCTTGGCGTGTCCAAACTTTTGGCTGGTGCTGTACATTTATGAGAGATGTACTGGAGGCAATATCTGGGGCATAAAGTTTTGTAGTGCATTTAGTCAACAGGTAACATATGTTGAGGAGCCTGACTGTACATTGGTAACCAGTGCCCCTGTGCTTTATGGTGTGGCGTACATCTTAGGCTGCTGTGAGGTGTGTCCTCTGCAGAAAATAAAACATGGCTGAGCAAAGCATAACTCATAAGTGTATATACTGAGGCTTCTGTAATTCAATGCCCATATTTTTCACCCCTCAAGTTGAAACTTGATGAAGAAGCTCTTTATAATGGATCATGTATTGACAATAATGACCACAAGGGGTCAGCAGTGCTTTAAGAATGACTCTGAATGCACACTACTGGCAAAAGTATTTGGTATCAGTCACTGTATCAGATTTTTCATTCAGACCCATTCTCAATTAAGCACCTAGTCAGGAAGTCAGGTTTACAAACATTTGTGAAAGAATGGGTCATTCTGAAGAGCTCAGTGAATTTAAGCATGGTTCTGTCATAGGATGTCACCTTTGCAATAAGTCAGTTTGTGAAATTTATTCCCTGCAAGGTATTTCATGGTGAACTGTAAGTGGTAAGTGGAACCGTTTAGGAAGTGGCAGACCATGTAAAGTAACAGAGCGGGATCACCGAGTGCTGAGGCGCATAGTGCGTAAAATTCGCCAATGCTCTGTTGACTCAATAACTGCAGAGTTCCAAACTTCATCTGGCATTAACCCCAGTAGAAAACTGTGCACCGGGAGCTACATGGAATGGAATTCCATGGCCGAGCAGCTGCATGCAAGCCTCACATCAACAAGTGCAATGCCAAGCATTGGATGGAGTGACGTAAAGCACTCTGGAGCAGTGGAAATGTGTTCTGCGGAGTGACGAATCGTGCTTTGCTGTCTGGCAGTCTGATGGACGAGTCTGGGTTAGGCAGATGCCAGGAGAACATTACCTGCCTGACTGCATTGTGTCAACTGTAAAGTTTGGTGGAAGAGGGATAATGGTAAGGGGTTGTTTTTCAGAGGTTGGGCTGGGCGCCTTAGTTCCAGGGAAGGGAACTCTTAATGTTTCAGCTTACAAAGAGATTTTGGACAATTGTATGCTCCCAACTTTGTGGGAACAGTTTGGGGGAGGCCCTTTTCTGTTCCAGCATGATTGTGCCCCAGTGCACAGAGCAAGGTCCATGAAGACATGGTTTGGTGACTTTGGTGTGTAAGAACTTGACTGGCCCACACAGAGCCCTGACCTCAACACCATCAAACACCTTGGGGATGAACTACAACGGAGATTGTGAGCCAGGCCTTCACACCCAACATCAGTGCCTGACCTCACAAATGCTCTTCTGGATGAATGGGCACAAATTCCCACACTCTCCAAAATCTTGTGGAAATCCTTCCCAGAAGAGTGGCAGCTGTTATAGCTGCAAAGGGGGGACCAGCTCCATACTGATGCCTATGGATTTAGAATAATGGTTCTTGTAAGTGTAATGGCCAGGTATCCCAATACTTTAGTCCATGTAGTGTAGCTTGCATGATAATTTCTAGGATGATGATTTCCAAATAACTCCTCAGTCCCTCAGTTACACCATATGTTTGTTTTATTATGTGGTTTCAGTTCCATGTCATGTTTTTTTAAATATTTTGTTTCCCAGACAGTGGAAAAAATGTGTTAAAATAGGAAAATCTCAAAGGCACTGTATTAACTTTATTTTTGGGGGTTTCTAAAACAATAACGTCCCAATCTCAATTATCGAAGTTAAGCTTCCCAGAGATGCAACTTCTACAAACCTCACTTATCTCAACATAATCTCATTCTACCAAAACTATGCAAAACAAGGTTCCATTTGTGTAAATGAATATTTTTTTGATTATTAAAAATGAAAATATATTTAAAAAAAAATAACCTAACTGAAGGTTGCTTTCATGTTATAGTTCTATGCTTGTAACTAAAATGTTACAATGTAGCATTTTTAATAATTTTGCTGGATGATGGATATTTGTAATAAATATGAATGTTGAAAAATAGTGACACAAAATAATATTCTTGCTTATGCTGTATAAAGTCTTCCTGATACCACAAACCCATTTGAAAATTTTAACATAAACTTTTAACACAAAACAACAAATGTCTCAGCTCAGGTCCCTGAAGTTTTTCGGTGGACCTACTTTGAATTTTGGTACCATTTTAACAGCATCATAATTAATGTACTGCAATCTGAGGTACATATTCCTCTTTAAATACCTGAATCATCCGTAGATACAGATTTCAAACCAACACAAACATTTTGAACAATATTAATCGCTTACATTCTAATCAAACGTCAGCATACAGCCAGAATATAAAATATAAAAACGCATTTACAAAAAAACACAAAGTAAGACAGCAAGCCGCCTTTAAATGCACAGGAATGTTCACAGGAGTACTGGGAAGGACCTGATTCAGCAGCCAATCCGAAGCCTTAGCTACAGGTGTGAGGTGTCCACCACGCTGCCTGACTCAATCTTTTTTGTTCTGCTGGGTTTTCAGGAAAAAAGAGGGGCTGTTAATGCAGTGGTAGCTGAAGACCTGGGGCACGAGACCGTACAGGGCGTTGACCATGAGGAAGAGCGTTCTGCTGTCATCGGGAACTCTGTACGTGAACGGGGTCCTCGTGTGGAGGGAGGCGGCCATGTGAGAGAACTGGGCCTGTGACAGGAAACACAGAGTCAGGGGGTGAGTAAACTCCAGAAAATGAACGCGGGACACTGCTCTGTCCCGGGCCCCGTGTCACACCTTTGTCACCGTGTCCGGCTGTAGCTATTGTGAGGGTCGCCCAGCCCCCCCACATAGCAACACGCCCCCTCTGGAAGCCACACCATATGTGGTCTTTATTTTTAGCCGGGCCAGCTGACATTTAAGGGATGCCGTCACCACGACGTGTCGAAAGACTGGCCCAGCTTCTACAGCACCCCCCCCCCAATCACCGCTGCCGCCGCCACCTCCCTGCAGGGAATTCCAATTTAGCCAAGGTCAGAAACCAAACCAGCAACCTTTTGTCAGAGACACCCAGCCGTTTGATTGGTCACGCTTCAGTCAGATCCGATCCTTTATTTGTGCTCCTCAGTAATTGAGGTACAACTATGTCCTCCTGCATGGTTCAGCGAGTCCAAGATGCAGAAGTGCAAAGCAGAGGCTTAGGAGGCCAAACTCTCAACCGCATAAGGTCATGAAGCCATGTCTGTGCTCATGGTCATTAAGGGAAAGACCATATTGTTGGTCACCACCCTACGAAGCCCAAAAAAATGTGAGCGCCAGTTCATTATGCTCCACTGATGTCCAGCCAGTGGCAAAACTGGAATAGGACCCCAATCACCCTCCCCACCCCAGTGGCCAGGTAGGAAAAAGGTCACACCCTGAACAGGGGAACTAGTTTGTTGTAAATGTTTTTGACAGGGTAACTATCATGGCCAACTCAAGCTGAAGTCCTCCATTTGAAAGGCAAGATCTTTCCAAGCTTTACAAAAGGCCTGCGCTTTGGGTCTTTTCAATCCTGCTTTTGTCCAAGTCTATTCATGAACATAACTGCTTAGCCTGTCAATGTGCCGGTGACACATGAGTGCTGGAGGAGGGTCAAAGGTCAAAGGTCACTCGCCTGTGCCACTGCTCCGGAGTGCACCAGAGTCAGGTCAGGCATCCATTGGCAGCCAGGGACCAGCAGCCCATACAGGGTCATGGTGTAATATGGGACGGAATACAGCATGTTTACCAGCATCTGCATTCAGAGGAACACACTCGGGTCACATTCCAACATTCAGTACTAAGGCCCACTTCGGTTCTTTATTCCCTGAACAACGTTAATCGGGTTTTAAATCACATGCAGCAAAGTACTGTACATGAGTATTTCAGGTTAAGTCCTACAAAGGTACAACACCAGTGCCCTGCTGGGATCTGGACTAGCAACTTTCAAGTTAAAAGTGTACATTGTGTTCATTGATCACATTATTAAGTGTGTGTGAAATACTGTACATGGTGATCTCCCCCCTCACCTGGATTCTGGGGTAGGCGGAAGGATCTTTCAGGTAAGGCTCATGGTGCTGCAAGTACTCCCGACACCACTGGCCGGGACAGTCCAGAGCGACCTATGGAAGGTGAGGTAAGGGACACGCCCCTGTTAGTACTCCCGACACCACTGGCCGGGACAGTCCAGGGCGACCTATGGAAGGTGAGGTAAGGGACACGCCCCTGTTAGTACTCCCGACACCACTGGCCGGGACAGTCCAGGGCGACCTATGGAAGGTGAGGTAAGGGACACGCCCCTGTTAGTACTCCCGACACCACTGGCCGGGACAGTCCAGGGCGACCTATGGAAGGTGAGGT